ATGTGGCTCGCTTATATAAAATACTACTAAAAATACTACAAGATAAAAATACTGCTAAAAAATAACTGCCAGGCATGTAACCAGAGATTCAGGAGCATAGTCTGCATGGCCATCTAACTGTATGGAAGGCAATCCACGCTCTACGGGAGGAAGCTTTATCTGTCTCCATCAAAATTGCTCAGGAGCCTGTCGGAGCACCACTGAAGAACAAAACAGCGCTGGTCCAGATGCAGCGTCGACTGCAAACGATCAGGGGGCAAAGACAATGGAGGAATTCCTTCGACGTGTCAGCCGCATCGTTCGGTTTTCAACACCAGGCGCAAGATGTTGTGCACGTCCATATATGTCTTATCAATAAATTGTATAAATTCTAAACGTCTTGTCGTGAAATATATTTTAACCTAGGTAGTGCAGTTGCTGATCTGGTTAGACACACATGGAGGAACACCAAATGCGTGTGGAAACCTAATGCACCTATGAAGTATTCGAGCTCCGCTCGTCATGTCATGACAAGATGAAGGTAATTCAAATTTCATGGCTTCAACAGTATGAATAGGGGCACTCATTTTTCGTTTCAAAGGAGCCTACTGATATCATAAATATTCTAAAGCCCCTTATATGAAAATAGTAATAACTTCTATAATATCGTATATGGTCACTAAATTAACAGTTCGGAGATAACTGTTGGACAGTATCCATTTCAAAAATATTCTGACGATTTTGAATAAAATTGAGTTCAATACCCGATCACTTTCTTCAAAGTAACCGGCCTCAAAATATAGATGAAATCCTTCATTCCATCGGGAAATCACTGATTGCATAACGGATGAAGTATATTACATGGTATATCGTTTCTAAATGATATTCTTACGGGACCATCTTTTCCTACCTTGAATTTGGGACCATTAGTTCCGCGACCATTTGTTGTGGGACCATTAGTTTTGGGAACATTAGTTCGGGACGCGTCGGCGTCATTTGTTCCTACACCCATTAGTATGTACTTGTAGTACTTTCCAACGCTACTTGTTTGTTTGTTTTTTTTTTTGTAAAAACGGCGGGGAATTATTAAGATTTCTCAATTTACTTTCCAACGCTACTTGTTTATTTTTTTATTTATTTTTATAAAAACGGTGGGGGAATTATTAAGATTTCTCAATTGACCTTCGAATCTTGGAAGACCTGCATATTCTGAGTTTTGGGAGAAAAGGCAATGAAAGAAGATACCTTTACCTTGCCCTTTAGCACGTGATTCTTCAAGTACAGCACAAAGTATGGGAGCACCAGGTGAGCTTCAGAGTGGGTGCCGCATTTTGTTGCCCCCTGTCAGAAGTTTAGCAACATCATTCTTGTCCTACTTTATTAATTTTATATGTTGTATATTGTATTATATTATGCTGTATCACATTTAATTTGTGTACACGTATAGAGATGCCTGTGAAAATAAGCCTTTTCAGATAAATCAGATAAAATTCGTAAAACACTCGCCGGTAAAATTTTGTCCATTCACACAGTTACACGCAGCCAGAGCGCGGCAAGACGAGCGCGTGATGAAGGCACAGAGCCACCGAGAAAACCGCAATATGGCATCGCTTTTTTTTTTTTTAATTAATATTATTTTATCGTGGAAAGAAAAAGTGAAAGCTGTTTACAGCTCCCTGTAACGCCAAATTAAAGCGCAGTTCTTGAGGAGGAAGGAAGGGTACCGGGGGGGGGAGGGGGGGGGGGTCACGTGACCTCGTGGGGGGGGGGGGGGTACGCGACCTCGTGGGGGGGGGGGGGGGGTACGCGACCTCGTGGGGGGGGGGGGGGTCAAGTGACCTCGGGGGGGTCACGTGAGCCCCCCCCCCCCCCTCTCCGAGGTCCTCCCGAAGGAACCTGAGGTACTCCCCAGGTCCTCGAGGGGGAAGGGGAGGGAGGGGGGGGGGGGGGGGGCGGCGGGTCGCGGTTACGCCGACGGCGACGCCGCTCAAGCCGGAAACGAGCACCTAAGAGCTGCGCTCTAAAAACAACCCAGTTTTGCAATGCGCCGGGATTGCTATGAATTTACAGTGTTGCGGAATGGGCACCCCCATTCCATTCCAATTCCATTCCGGGGAATTATAGTTTTCGTTAATTCCATTCCTTTCAACTCCTAGGAATGGGGACACTGGGCCCATTCCCACTCCTGGAATGGCTGAATCGTTCCATTCCATTCCTCTAATTCCTAAACGTAAAAATTGGGACTTGACAGCTGCATTGCGTTGCAGGGTTGGGCAGAAATAGTTAAAATTGTATTTCAAAATACAAAAACTGGGATAGATGGAAAGAGTAGCTAAAATACTGATACTCAAATATATCTGTAAAAATGTATCGCGATGCGTATCGGAAATACATTTTAAAAAGAGGCAAAAAGTCTTTGGAAAATTAAATACATGAATACATTTTAGGGAGGGCAGAAATATGAATACTGATAATGCAATACATTTTTCAAATTTCTTTGAGACGCCAACTGAGATGAAACTTTAAATTTAAAGTAAAAGTTTTTTTCTTTTTTTTCTTTTTTTTAATCCAGAAATTACTTTTCCGCAGGCTTGGCACTTCTTACAGGTAGTGATTCCGGACGAACCGCTCATTCACACTGGAAGCGGATCCGCGTTCGCAAAGCGGTTGGGAACGCGGTTGCGTAAAGATCCAGTACAATTGCACGCGCACTCGATGACATCAAATGCGCGTGCAATTGCACTGGATCTTTTATACAACCGCGTTCGCAACCGCTTTGCGAACGCGGATCCGCTTCCAGTGTGAATGAGCGGGAAGAGGAGTCTTCAATGAGTTCAAAAAACGTTCCATCGAGGATTGACCGCGGTCCCTTCCCTGGCATCTTGTCTGTCTGACCAGTGATAAGAAAAGACTTCGACCTCTAAATAAATTCCACCAAAACCATCATCACTTTCCTACCCAATAAGGGTGCCCCTGTCAGCACTGATCACATGACGTCACGGCGGAATGGACTAGTATTCTTGCATCTGTAGGTGTTGCCTTGAACATGAAACTCTACCCACGCTGCTGTATGAAAGGACAATAGGTACTTTTGTGTTGAACTTCACTGGTGAAAGGCGCCACCGCCGCCCCCTTCCCTCCACCGCCGCCCCCTTCCCTCCCCCCTTTCTTCTTTGCTTTGACGCTTGTTCTTTGTATTGCATTTTTTTTTTTTTTTTTGGCGTATAAGTCTGTTAGGGCTCCACACGGGTTTGCAGTTTCCCGCTCATTTTATTTCTGAACATCTGACTCGCTGACTTACTCGGTATAACTAAAAGTAAAAAAAAAAAAAAGAATAATATAAAAAAAAAAAAAAAAACTTGCCCATTTTATTCCCATTCCATTCCGGGCAAAAGGCATCTCATTCCATTCCCATTCCATTCCCCTCAACGTTGCCGCCATTCCATTCCGGGGTCGCGAAAATGTGGAATGATTCCAGAATCATTCCAACTCCGGAGTGGCAACTCCGCAACACTGCTATGAAAGCAGCTCTCACCACTAAATATGGCTCCTCCAGCAATATTTGCTGCTACGACTGTTTCTAGATGGCTCCTCCAGCATTCTAAAACAGTGTCGTAAACGCATGCTTGGGGGAGCGTGGGCGCCGCCATGTCGAACACAGGGCCGCGGTATCATGGTAAGGCGACCACGGCAACGTGTTTCAGGCACATGACGCTGGGGGTCCATATCACAAGAGCGAATGACATTTTAGCGAACGCCAACATTTGAGCGAATGGTCGTTTTAGCGAAAAACGGGGGCGCGCGTTAACCCATCCGTCGCGCTGCGCTTTACGCCGCTTCGCGGCGACAGTCTGCGGCAACTCATTACAAAAATATGAACTCGCTTGGCCCACCCGAAAACGCCGCTTCGCGGCGTCCGACTATTCGCTAAAGTGTCATTCGATGAAACGTGGGCGTTCGCTAAAACGTCATTCGATCAAGTGAGTGCCTCCCGTTGACGCCACGACGAAAACGCACTTGTTCATTCAGGTGCTGCTCCTGTCCACTACCATCCCTCCGAAGCTTGCAGTGGATTACCCGACAAAGCCCGTGGTCCCAGTAATGACGCACATTATCTGTTCGAGAAAGATGACGCCGCATCAATGCCGCACTCGCTCACCCTGCTAAGCCCAGCCAGTCAACCCCAGCCAAAAACTGATGCACTGCTCAAGTCCAATCACTGCTTCGCACTGCTGCCTCGTAGGCTACGTAAAAAGTCCAGTACCACGGCCTGGCTATCTAGGCGTTGCCACTTGCCGGACAAGCCGAAGATGAGCTGCATCTCGTGAGCCATCTAGCGAAGGCGGGACGTGATGCAGCACTTGAGTCCAGTCAGCATTGTGGCCATTCGGACCACCGGACGGACCTCACCGATCGAGTACTAGCTGAACGCATTTCACGCAGGCCTCCGGCAGGCAACGTAGCAAATCCGGCACGATGGCCTTGATATGGGCTTGATCTAGTCAAGTTCAAAGGCACACACTTGCAGAGCGTTTTCCGGTCCCCCTACGGCGGAAAAACTGCAGTTCGGCTGCTATACTCCGCGACAACTTTTCTTAGCAATGCAGTGGAAGGTACAGGCACGCATTCCCTCTCCCATTTTGAGCGCTGAATAAAGCTGTGCGCGGGCTCTCCTCCTCTTCCTGGAAATGCCAAGAAAAGTCGGTTCTCTTTTCCTCCGCCCATGCGCTACTTTCACCTCCATGGAAAGGACACTCAATTTTTTTACTCGATGCAGATTTTAGCAGAAAGTTATGCACCTTTCCAGCGCCAAAATACCCGACAGTGATGGGGAGTTTTAGATCGTATTTTCTCGGAACGATGTAACTCGTGTTGTAACATGATAGCAATAGCATGCTTTAAAGAGTGCAGAGTGGTTTTCCTTCCCGGAAACCCTTTGCAGTGTCATACTGTACTGGCATACAAAAAAATTGCGGTCGGAAAAAAAAAACCGCCAATGAGGCAGTTAAAAAAAAAATGCCTTTAAAAGAGCACAATGTTTATTTACATAAGCTTTTGGCACAGACTTGTCTGTATTATGCACGCTAAACGTGAAGAAAAAAAAATATTCATACAGGATATCACAACACTGGTACGTAAGTACAAAAACCCACCACACGGACGAAAAATAAATTCCAAGAATCTCCATTTTGCCTTTCATTTTTTTGCATTCACCTAATTCACAGTTCTCGGTTGTGTTGGTTTTTTTCTTTTGTAAATCTGTTTGGTGGAAACTACGCGCGTGTGCGAAAAACAATGCATCTCACGACCAACAAGCACATTTACATGTCAAAGCTGCATGGATCACCAATGAGCTCCACTATGCCCCCCACGACATACGAGCAGCTCTGGGCACTCCCAGAGCACGCTAGGGCAAAGCGAGCCTTTTCCAAACAACTTTGAGTCGCACAGGAGCCAGAATCAAGCATCATGTGGGATCACATTGCTCGCACCACACGCTGAAACAAAACCCTCGCGAGCAACGGAAAAAGCAGGCACTTTTTGTTTCCTTAAAATAAAAATATCTAAAAAAAAAGGCTCCTCAGCTGGCAAGAACAAAACTGTCACAAACTTAACAAGAGGCTCACGGTAGTTACTTTCACATTGCTCCACATATAAAAACACTTTGTACGCAGGTCACTGAACATTTGTACAAGCACACTCGAGGTACATAAATTAAACCGAACGACATAAGGTACGAGAAAGGGTGCAAGCTCATCCCCAGCACTTCAACGAACTTTGCGCCCGCCACTTGGACAAGACACGCCCCAACGGACGTTTTGGGGCCAGTTTCAGACAAAGAAGGGGTGAATCACAAATACTGCTCGGGGGGCGGCCACTCAAGTTCCACACTCCTGTTTTGATCGGCATTCTTTAAGTAGGCTTTGCCCCTTCGTGCCACATTACCCGCCATTTGCTTCGGACCAGGCAAGGCAAGGCTTTTGCCTGCACAGCTTAGAATAAATGCCGAATTAACCGAGGCAAACATTTCTGGCTCGTGTTTTGTACTCTAGATGACGTACGTAGTACGGCGTAGCAGACCACAGAACGCAACATAGAATGTGCCAAGCTGTGAAGACTATTATCGCATTATTTCTATCAAGCGGCTTCGATCGCAGACTGCCGGGAACCGGAATTTCCGAACGACGTCGCAGACCGGGCAGCGCCCCCGCTGCCACCGTAGGTCGAGCAACCGCGACACAACAGCGGCTTCGTCCTCCGTTCCAGCGGACGACGGCAGCTCTTAGGCCCACGTGGCCACCGCCACAGTGCCACTCCGTGGTCGGCGACGTCATCGTGGGATCCGGCCTCCGGCAATTAAAGCCGCTCGGTAGAAATGACGCGATAACAAACTGTGTATAGCATCTTGGCACATTCCAAGAGGCATTCCTCAATTATACTACAATTCAGATTAAGTGCACTACCATTCAATGGAGCCAATCGAGCGGTGCCAAAAGTGCCATGGCGCGTCTTTGTGCGTCTGTTATCACTGGCTAAACCAATGACGCGCGGTGAATGCACCGTTATCATTTTCTGCGCACAATTGGTTAAGCCGGTGGCAGCAAACGCACGAAGACGCCGAGTGCCACGACGATGCACTCTCGGTGCTGCAGATTGGATCTCCGAATCATAGTGTCGGCTGAAGTCAGACTTAAAGTGAATGGAATACAGTAATGCCACGCGCATTATTAAAAGAATCGAAGCAAGTAGTTCTTAAGGTAGCCTCGCGTCAGAAACTCTAAGCTTTGGTAGTGTTATGCCAGAGAACAATGGGGGCAGGCATGTGCTTGCCGACGGCAAACAAAGCAATTTGTGTACCAACAAATTCCTAAGTAAGTGCGTCGTTAAACGGCGCTAATAACTCTCTAGTCGAGACGCGCCCACGTGGCCCTCGGGAAAATGTTTGAGAGGGCCACGGAGGATTCCTCATCGCAACATTTTATTTTCTTGTCACGAGACGAAACGAAGAAACGACCCGCGAGCGCTCTGTAAAAATTCGGGAGGGCCAGACTGTGCGGCAATGTTACGGGCGAGAACAAAGGGAGGCTACGGGGTCAGCCCGAAAGCAACGCTTAAAACTTGCGAGAGAAGCATAAATAATGCGTGCAGAAAGAAACAGTCACGCGGAAAAAAAAAAGAAGTAGAGTCGACGACGGTAGTACTTGACATTACAGAAAACATATGGGAAATTTGAGCTTCCAGAACGCACGTCCAACGCACGCAGAAATGCATGCGAGGAAGAGCGATGGCCGTGACAATGAAGAGAAAGCCTGAGCGAGGAAGCGGGTTCTTATAAACCGAGCAGTGGCTCAGATCGCGCCACGCAATTAGTCCTAAAAGTGCAGACACTCCACAACAGTCGCGAGAACGGAAGGAAACACAAGGCAAGAACCTTGAGCGTGCCTCTGTCATTGCGACGCATAGAGAAGGAAACAATTCACGGAGTGCCGCTAATGATCCTCGTGGCACGGCTAAGCTCCGGCCTTCGCGAGCGAGTTGCAGTGAAAAGGGAGCCAAACCCACAAAGCGAGCGGGAGTTAGAGCTAGAGTGGAACTGATGGAAAGGAACCCGAGACGCCAAGCAAAAACTGCACATGCCGAATTTTGAAAGAGTCACCGCCCGGGAAAATATCACCTGCACTCCCGGAGAAAAGGCCGACCCAAAAACGTGCGCGCGACACCTGCTCGAAGCCCTTCTCTCACTTTCCACAACCGTCAGCGCAAGCTCTCTCAACAAACGTGGCTCGAGAGTTGTGTCGCAGACCCGTTCCCGAGGTTGTGTTCTTAACGTGTGCATATCTCAAAAGTCATTCGCTTCTCAACGTAGAAAACAAAGCAAGGAGGAGCCTCCGAGAGAACCGCACACTTAACAATGACTATGTACAATTACACTATGTACAAGGTTTCTCACGCAGCCAGCATTCCTACTATCTCGTTCACATCGAAGCATTCAGAGAACATCCGAGAATATATTTACAAGTGCACATATAAACACGCACATGCATGCCGACATATATATATATATATACGCTTATATATAATATTTATGTATATATGTATATGTGTATGTCACTCAGTCCCCACGGCCAGCGTCGCTCTTGCTGTCAGACGGAAAAACACAAAAGCTACTAGTGGCCACGAAAAAGAACGAGAACTTCTCAAGATGACCTAAAATTAGAATAGCCAGAAACTCGCGACTATATTACATAAAAGAAAGAAAGACGAAGCACTGAAAGCAAATGATTCGAACCACGCGAACATCCCGAGGTTTCACTCAGGGCACGCCACGTCGGCGACGCATTTCTTTAGCCGAACGGAGCGACTCCCTCCGTCCCTAAAATATGGCCGCCGACCGCCGTCACTTTCGCCGAACTAAGACCGAAACTCTGCAAAAACCTGCCATCGCGACGACGCGCGAAAAAAACGACGTTCTCGCATTTTCGTTTCCGAGCCCTTTTCGACGGAGAAAATGTCGCTGCAATAAAATAAAGAGGGCGGCAACTGCGCGTACAACGAACGACAACAAAACGGGTTCAGGTACCTTTGCAATGAGTGACAAACCGAGTGCCTCCAATTTCATGGCACACGTCGAAACAAGTCGCCAACGATCAACGCACAAAACACGGGGGAACAGAACGACAGCTTCTCAACGGCGGGACGTCGCTCTAAAACAGCGACATCCGTCCCCTACGAGGACACCTTGGCGCAGCCCCTTCGTTCCTTGGCAAGCCCTTCTCTAAAGAAAGTGATACGCAATGAGAGCCCTCCTTTCGTTTCCGGGATAGAGACGCAAATGCGCCATCTCGTTAAAAAAGTCACCGACACTCGTAGACTAGTCTTCGTAAAATTGTACTAAAAAATTGTTTAAAACAACAGAGGGGGAAGAATTAGAGCCACCGTCGTGGCAGCCCCAGCCGAGAGAGTAACGACACCGGGCAAAGGTGCTAGATGCGCGCCACTGGAGTCTCTCTTTTGGTCCTGGGAATCGCCCCGGCAACGGGATGCCGGCGGCACCTAGCGGCAGTTTTAGAAGATCCAACGCTCGCCTCCATCGATCACGTTGATACAGTTTCCGGTCACGAATGTCCAGCTCGGATGGAGAAGCAGCACGAGGAAGAAGACGGCCGCAAACTCGGTGCCTTGGAAAGACCCTCGATGGGAGCACCGTCGGGGGTCGGCGCACAACGGCCGACTCCCGTCCGCACTCCACGCTCCCCTCGCAGCGGGACGCTCCGGCAGCCAGAGCCGCCACACGCGGTGGCTCTCCGAGGAGGCGCCAGGAGAATACAACGCCAACTTCGTTACTCGTCCCGTCTCCCCACGGGGGAACTAAAAAGACTCGTACGTAACGACGGAAAAGGAGGCTCTTTCCTTCGTGAGGGAGCGCAAAAGCCGAGCTGGCAAAGTTGCCAACTTTGCTACCGACTTTCGAGGCGGAAATGAAAAAGGGAAGGCGGAGGAGCGCGGTAGACGGGGCACCCGGAGATCTCCGGCGGCCGATCGTACTCGTCTCGGAACGGAGGGCGCTCGCAAGAAGGACTCCCGGCGCGGTCTCCCGGCCTCAGACGTGGGTCGTCTCCTGGCTTTCCCAGTCGTCGTCGTCCGTGGTGTCGCTCTCGCTGCCGTGGCCGTCCAGGTCGCTGCCGGGGTCGTCCCCGCACGCGCCCGCCGCCGCCGAGGGGGACAGGTGGCTCCGGGGCACGAAGAGCAGTGACACCTGCGAGCCAAGCGGGGGCCCTGAGGACACGCTCCCTCTCCGGTCGGACACCCCGCAACCGGAAAGAACATTTGAAAGTGTTAGCTTCGTACGTCCAACCAACCTCGGTAGCCGCGTGAGCCCAAAATGCGTAGGTCGGTCAATCCGTAACCGTGAAACAATCGTGGAAAAAAAAGAATGGCAACCGGTGCCAGGGATGGAACCCCGATCGCAGGCGTGGAAACCGAGTGCACCACCGACTAAGCCAAGGACCCAGCATGCAGAAACGGGAGGAGCGGAAGCGGGTGGAGTGACAAAGCGCACGGAGCAGAGAGGAGTCGAAAGGGTAAAAAAGACAGGAGCAGAAAAACAGGACACAGTACTGCCCCCTCTCTCAGCGACTCAAAAAAGTTGTCACAAAGATTTTGTAAACGGGCGGTGCCGAAGAGAAGCACGCGCAGCATTACAAAGAAGCAATGATGCGACGTAATCTGTTTCCATATAAAAACCCTGCCCTAGACACCACCCGAACTAAGAGCATCACCCACTCTATAAAGCTACCGCGTTTAAACCTGTTTGGCAGAATGACCAAACGTGCAGTCAATTTTTGTTTTAACCCAGAATGTGTTGCTGGGATCCAGGAGGAAAGTGTGACGCCACGGAAAGCATTACTAAGTGCAAAACATACTTCGGAGGAAAATCTGTACAGGAGTCGTAAAACAAGTGGGAAGGACACAATTCTAAATGCAGCCCGAAAAGAATCGGACCGACAATCCCCTGAATGTGAACTCGACATTCTACCACCGAGCCAATTGGTGGATAGACGCGAAGATAGCTTGCGTTAACTGTTTGAATGCCGGCATTGAAACTCAAACAGGTTACAGGAAAAAACAAGAAATCGCAGACGTGTCCACCATCATACATAAATGGACAGTCTGTAATATAATTAAGCGCTATAACCGAAGAAAATCGAAAAAATTCCCCGCAATGTCCACTACAAACTTGGAACAATGCCGCAAAAGCATTCTGTGTATTGCGACTTTCACCGTAGCATTAAGATAAATCGAGTTATTTTTTTGTGCTAACCTTTTCAAGCTTTACTCATACCTTTTAGACTGCCTGGATTTGATAAAAACGTAATCAAACTCATTTCCCCTCCAAAAACATGTTTACATAGCAATTCGAAGAAACCTTACGAGTGGTTCCTCCTCTCCACACATCATGGCAGGAGGAGGCGCAAGATGCCGTCGGTCCGTACGGGGTGGCACGCATGCCCTTCCCGCTCCTTCCCGCCACTAGAGGGCCTTCCCAAGGGACCCCCGCCGACCTCCAAAAAAGAGCTACAGTAGGCTCACCATAATTCAAACTGGTATATATCATACTTCCTGTTAATTCAAACAAACTTCAGAACTTTAGTAGTGTTGACGATTGGGCTAGTTGGTCATTCATACTAGCGGAAAACAAACAGCGCAAGAACACGGACAGAGTAGAAGGCGGTAGACACACACAGCGCTGACTTACAACTGAGCTTTATTGGCACTGACAACCTGTATAAATACACAATTTGCCCGGCCCAAAAGCCAAGAAAAGAAACAACACAAGAGGAGGACTACACGTGTTCCTAGAGTCATCTGCAGGCGCCGTTGTTCTCCGATCTGAGTAGAAAAATACACTCCTTTTCCCTCAAGGCAAGTGACGGGGCACTAACACACTCGGAGCCCGATTGTCCAATGGTGCGGGCTTCTATAACCTTACGTGTCAGTTTATCTTTTTGTTTTCTGATGACCGTGCATCGTTCAAAAAACGGAGTACATCCGCAATCGCAACAATGCACCCCAAGGTGCCCCGACACAACCTGAGACACATTATGACGATGCTCTCTTAAACGCTCATTAAGACAACGTCCTGGCTGCATCCGTCACCGAATCCTGCCACTGGATGTCCTGGTATTGTTCGGCGGCTGCCAACCCTGGCCTGGCCATGGGATGAGGATATGCAAGATCCTACGCACGGAGTGCCAGCGGCAGATACGGCTGTATCGTGAGTGCCTACACCTACGTCTCCGTGCGGGTGACCGTTCGTCCTGCGGTGGATCGCGGTGGCGGGAGCTCCCACGTACCCTCGACACAACCGCTGACTTCCTCTGGCAGCAACACTGCCTCTTCTTCGAGCGAGCATCCCTGGGAGGCGTCCTGCGGCTACGGGGAACAAGGTCCACAAGCTGGGTGACGTCCGCCTTCCAAAACAAGTGGAACAAGTGCTGAGCCACGGCCCCAAGTTCGCCGTCGAGCCGAGAAGGTCGCCCCCGGAGGTGTTGTCTCTGGTAAGGCAAGTGTCGGGACGAGCTGCGGAGTCTGAGGCAGACAGGTGCATTGCGGATGGTGTAGACGTATTGCTGCAGTGCAGGCCGTCTGGTGGCAGGGTCCCTGTGCGGTCCACCGTCGCTTACCTAAAGGATAACGCCCTGTCCTTGTTACCTGCTGATAAGGAGGGGGGCTTTGTAGTACTACTCAAAGGCATGCTCAACTCGAAAGCTTTAGACGCTACAGAGGCCACTTTTGTACGCAGGAATGATGTGTCCCTAGCAAAAGTAAAAATTGAAGCACGTAAATTTTGCAAACGGCTGAGTTTAGATAAACTAGCCCTAGTGGTCGATAAGGGCAGAGGGCCTGAATCTGGATCTGTTTTTTTCAGCTAAAACGCACAAAGCCAACTGTCCGCTACGCGTTAGAGTATCGGAAATTGGAACGTGGCAGAAGTCGGTGGCCATGTTTTTACAAACGAAATTGAACATTATAGTTATTGACGATCCCTTTCAGGTAAAAAACTCGGAGCAGATAATAGACTTCCTTAAACAATGCCCTGACCAAAGCCTCTCAGCATGTTCCGTAGACATTAAGGACTTATACTACTCGATTCCACACACGGAGCTTTTAATGTGTGTCGAAGAGTGTATTGACAACCACGGGTGTGTAGCGTTTCAAAATGAATGTGGTCTGGGGGTAAGAGACTTCTTGGAGCTTTTAACCTTTTACCTCAAGTCGACGTTTACAACTTGGAATGGAGAAACTTTCATTCAGAAAAACGGCGTATGCATCGGTTCCTGTTTAGCTCCCGTGTTGAGCAACATTTATCTTGCATTTTATGACAGAATTTTTATCTAATCGACTTGAAGGCTCTAGGGTAAAAAAGGTTTTTAGGTTTGTAGATGACTACTTAGTGCTTGTTGACTGTGACTCAGACCACTTTGCTGGCGAAATTTCTGAGGTTTTGGACACTTTTAGTAAATGCTTGGAACCACTGGTTATCACGCACGAATTACCAGTAAACGGTTCCATAAGATTTTTAGACCTTAGGCTGCAGTGTCTTCCCACACATACCTACTGGCTTTATGAACCAAGGAGTAATAACCCCTCCTGTCATTTTCGTCTGCCCACTCTAAACTGGTGAAAAGGGGAATCATCAACATTTGCTTTAGGAACGCCCTTAATAAATCCTGCTTTCACTTAGTCAAGGATAGCTTTAAGAATCAAGTAGCGAGGCTCACGACCGCGGGCCACCCGTTGCGCCTCCTAACTGCAGTCACAGAAACTCTACTAAAGAGAAGACGCATTGAGAATGCTGAACAAGTTAACAGGAAAAACAGGAACATCACAGTACTACCGTACCTACACAAAATATCCCATAATCTGAAGAAAGTGGGACGTCGAGCTGGTGTTCTCTTTTCAGCTCCAGACAAGCTATCTATGATGTGCAAAAGAGTGAACTCTCATGTAATAGAGAGACAGGTGTGCACCAAGAAACACCAAAACCAGTTTGTTACATGCGTTGCGGGTGTTGTATACTCTATTCCCCTGTCCTGTGGCCGGAGATACAGAGGGCAGACAGGACGTTGTCTTAATGAGCGTTTAAGAGAGCATCGTTATAATGTGTCTCAGGTTGTGCGGTGGGGCACCTTGGGGTGCATTGCCGCGATTGCGGATGTACTCCGTTTTTTGATTGATGCACGGTCATCAGAAAACAAAAAGATAAACTGACACCTAAGGTTATAGAAGCCTGCACCATTGGACAATCGGGCTCCGAGTGTGTTAGTGCCCCGTCACTTGCCTTGACGGAAAAAGAGTGTACTTTTCTACTCAGATCGGAGAACAACGGTGCCTGCAGATGACTCTAGGAACACGTGTAGTCCTCCTCTTGTGTTGTTTCTTTTCTTGGCTTTTGGGCCGGGCAAATCATGTATTTATACAGGTTGTCAGTGCCAATAAAGCTCAGTTGTAAATCAGCGCTGTGTGTGTCTACCGCCTTCTACTCTGTCCTTGTCCTTGCGCTGTTTGTTTTCCGCTTCAGAACTTTGGTTGTCCTGCAGAGAGGCAACACACGCAGAGCTTGCTTCCGCGGGTGTTGCTTCTCCGCAGTGCACCGGTGCTCAGTGAGAAGTGTACCCAACGGGGCTCAAGCAGGGCACACATGAGCTATGAAAACGGGCACCAAGCAGAAATTTCCACATCAACTTGCGCGGACGCTGCGACGTGGCGGCATGGCATAGGCCCACGCCACAGCATCGACGCAAGTTGCTATAAAAACTGCCGCACGGTGCCCGTTTTCATCGCTCTGCTAACAGTTGACATTAGGCACCATCTCGGCCCGATGAACAAACTTCATTTTGTTTTGAATTGTCAAGTGCTGTCCAACAGTGCACGATAAACAACATTTTTGAGGGATAAATAAACTTATGTCATACACTTGACAGATGTTTCACGCCTGGCATACCTGCTTATGATCAGTAGGCCTACGTAGAGGAAATCATGAAATATCTGCTTTGTACGTTTAGCCATTCGTACGGCAAATCAGAATTATATCTTGCATCTTATTAAGGGTGGAGGCTGGTCTTTAAATGGTAAACAGTTGGGGAAAAGTTATTTTTGAGAAAATGTCTTTTCTGGTATTTAGACATACCCACACAGCTCTGTACAAAATATTATTGCTCTATCTAATATTCAAATATAAAAAAACACAGAAAA